CCCCAAAACCCCAAAACCCCAAAACCCCAAAACCCCTATAAATTTTATGTGATTGAACTCGAGTTTTCAATATGGATGATGTGTAAATTAGTATTGATTTTAGTTAGTCCATACCAGAGTGTTCATCTTATTTGTTAGTTGGCTCAGACCTATTGGTAATTAGGAGAAAAACTTACCATTTAGACCCGGTTTTGTTCATAAGTGTGCTTTTTCGGCTATACGGAGTCTTATGGTTGAGCCTCTCTTTAGCTTTTTGGCCCTCTTGACTCTTTTCAAACAGAACTAATTCGAAAGTCTCCTTAATAGTTTCTAATGTTATTTCCTCCTGATTTATTTGCTTTATTGCTTCATGAGCTTCTCAAAGTGATATCTGTAGAAATTGTCTGAGGAAATCTTTTGAGCTATCTTTAAAATATTGCTTATCTCCCATCATCACAGCTGATTTGGTGATCTCACTATGAGAAGTCTGCCCTAAAATTTGACGAACCCTAGAGTTAACTTTCAGTTCCTTTAATATAAATCTCCATATCATTCAGAAGATATATCTCTGACTTCCATGCTTGATCGATGCTGCATACAGAACGTTCTTAACTTTCCCATATTCCTGGAGATCTAGAATTTGTCTTTTATACGAAATGTTATTTTCACAAGTTGAAAAAATAACATTTCTCAAAAGGTCCATAACTTTGAGTAGGTTTCTACAGTACTCTGCAGCTTCTGTGAAAGGAACGGCTTCAACTCCGTTCTCAACATCTTTCTCAAACTTAGTTTGCAACTGATGATAAGTCTTAGAAGAAATGAACTGGACTTTAGACTTCTCCTTCCTGTAATTGATATTTTTATCATAGCAGTGAAGGAAGAACATGTAAATATCAACGCAGAGATTCAGTACAAGAATAATGGGGCCTCCAATAAAGAAGATAAAGAAGGTGTTTATTCTTCTGAAGATAGGGACTTCTACTTTCTTATTGAAAATAAATTGTAGCTTAACCAACACCCCTTTGAAGTAAGTTAGGGGTAGGATCACTCAATTGATAACTATGAAAATTATTGTTGCCAAGAATAATACTGGAAAATATCAGATATGACAAACCACTTCGTTGAATTTCCTAGTGTCTTTGATGATGAAATAGAATGGAGATAATATCAAAGGAAAGAAGTTCCATGGTGGGAAGGCTGAGATCAATCCACTTGTTCTCTTCTCATACTCAAGAGATGATCTGAGTTTCAGTATTTCATTGATGTATAGAACCACTTTCTTTTCGTCAAGTTGAGCGTATGTGGTAGAGAGGATAGCAATCAAGAGATTTAAAATAAGAATATTACAAAGTATAATGAAAGACACTAGATATATTTCTCCAGTCACTCTTCCTTTATTTGATCCATCTAGACTGTTGAAGTCGAAATTTCCCAGAGCTGATCCGAATAACGTGATCATTGCATCATAAAAATTTGTATATCCTGCTTCTGTGTAAAATAAAAGGACAGCCAGTGAAGCATACACAACAAGAAGGATGCCAAATAAGACCATGAAAATAGTGATATCCCAGAGCATACTAAATACCATTTTCAAAAGCGGTCCTAAAAATCGGGTGAGTCTAAACATGTACAAAATCCTAAGCCATAGAGCAGTCATTGCAATAGCATAGAGAACATCAAGAAGTATTTCATCATTTGCATACTCGTAAATATTTTCAAAATATCTGACTGCTTTCTTCCCACTATCACTGATATCGCTCAGACCATCTCTGTAGTCATCAAACTCTCTTCACATTTTGATGAAAAATACCAATGAAAACACAATATCTCATAAATTTGCAAAACTAAGAAAACGTAGAGACCTCTTTGTCAAGGTTGCATATATTGCTTCCAGAACTATCCTCATCGGGTAAAAATAAGCAATTATAGACAAATACTGGAGTATTTCCATATCGTTATAGAACGTAATAGCATCACCATGATGTTCCTCTAAAGCTACATCAATAGCTTCTTGAGAGCTATTGGCAGCCACTGCTTCAGTATAGACTGTTAGCAACTCGTGCCCAGATCGGAGGGCTTGTATTAAGAAATATTGAAATGTCACCGTTAAGAAAAACAAGAACACAGCTTCTGTGATAAATTTAGCCATCATCGACTTCTTCCAAATTTGGTATTGGAAAAGATGGTGAGCATACTTCTTTCGGCAAGAGAAATTATAAAACATATATTCTTCCACAAGATCTCTAGGTTTATTAAAAGTGTTCCAGCTTAGTATAGACAAAGCAGATGAACATTCCATTAAGTTTCCTTTAACATCATATTCAGAGCTCCAAAGCTCTAGAGCAATTTTCTCCATATTCTTATTATTGAGAATATCAGTGATATTATATCTTGACAAAAGCTCTAATGAATCTCTATTCTCAAAATCTCTTTCAAACACAAGAGCCCTTAATCTCTCTTCATCACTGATCTCTCTGATAAAGTTGCTGCCTATCCTAGTCAAGTTCTCAATGATGCCATCAGTTTGGGCGCTCAGAAATGGATACTCCCTAGTGATCAAGATGCACACTTCATAAATATTAATGATTAACAGCAAAAGATTGGGAGTGAAGTACAAAGGGTTGTCTTTAGGGTCAGTCCTGTCTATCTTCCCAGCTATAGTGTACAAGAAGTCCTCTGCCCTTCTATAACTCAAGTAATGAATCACGCTTTTGAGCATAAAGCATTTCGCAAGCCAACAATGATTAGATTTCGTAAATGACTGCAAGATGTACTCAAGGAAAGTAGCTTCAGATCTCGTGAAACTTTGAGGGTATTTATTTCTCAGATGAAACACAACGTCATATCAGTCGTTTTCCAAAGCAATTTGGACAAACCTCCTATCAAATTCAAACTCTAGTTCATTGACCAAGGTATACTTGTCCTTTATAATCAAAAGTCCAATAATTTCTGTAAGAACATCATGATCAGAAATTTTAGAAAGTATTTTTCTTCATTCAAAATTATTCTTGTTTTTCTCTAAGAGCACATACATAGCATCCACATAGGATATCAGACTTCATGAATCGAGTCTGGATCTGTTTTTAATGTCATGCTCCTCTCTGAATTTATCCAGAATCATGTTAGGCACTGATTTGTTTGTCCTATCTACCTTAACTCTTTCGTTCAGAGCCTATTCCTGTCAGAAAATTACGAAACTTTGAATGACAAAATTGATGAAAAAGTTTTAATACCTGTCGGAAGTTTTACAAAATCTTAACAAAATCATTTGTGAAATTGAGAAAAGAGAAATCATCAGCAACCAGTTTGGTACTTGGCCTAGCGAAAATTAAGAAGACTTCATCATGGACTTACCTTAAACAAAAATGCTTTACCAATTTCATACAAAGAGAAGAGGTCTTCGGAGCGGAGGGTCAGATCTTCAGAATCCATGGAAAATATTGTTAGTAAGGCTGGTTTTATTCTATCCCTAATACACAGCTTCACAGACTTCTCTCTGATATTGCTAATTTCAGTATCTGTGTTGAGAAGTTCGTCATAAGACTCTGGGAGTTCTTGCTCAACGAAGGAGCTCTCGAGGTTAAATTGACCTGAGATTTCTAAATTTTAGTTACAATATAAACAATACCGTCAAAATATTCATTGATAGGGTTATATAACTCCTTCTTTTTAAATAGGATAACAAGGTGGATTAGTACGTATCTGTATTCAGGCTTGATCTCTATCTTGAATTCCTGCAGTAAGTTGTTGATCCGCTCCGAGCTTTCTACATTCTTTAGTGCTTGGATGAAACTGTACCAAAAATGTTACGGAAATGATCAAATTTTCAGCTTAAGAAATAGTAAGAAACTATATAATACAAGCAATTTCTATATTAAAGCATATTTCTTATGGTTTATAAGATCTATTTCATACTATGCCTGATCTTACCTTGGAAAGAAAGAGTCTTCTTTCTCTTCCTCCTCCTCAAACCTTGAAGAATTCTCAAGGTCAGGGTCTTGATAATACAGTGGACTATCAGAAGGGAAGAATTGTCTCTCTGCTGACTTATGAGTGTCAATATCCATCCACATGTCGCTCTTGATCATGTTTATGTTGTCATCATTGTCTGATTTCATAATAATTTTTAAGTTTTTATAAAAAAGGGGTTTTGGGGTTTTGGGGTTTTGGGG